CTCAAAGTTCCTTGGAGTGGATGCATTCAATGCTGTCTGTTTTAAGAAATTATTAACAAGTAATTATAAGGCAGTGTATTTAAGAAGCGCAATATTTTTGTTTTTTTTAATTCCTATGAATTAGTTTATTTCATTGTTTTCAATAAGTAATGCAGTATTGGATTGATGCTTTTAACAAGAGAAAAAGGGTCCTAAGATGCTACGTTTTAGCTACTTTATGTCTCAGAAGTATGAACAATACTTAAAGATTTGTGGAAGAAAATAGAGACCTGTGAAATGTAAATGCATTCTGAAAATCCCAAATACAGACTAAAGACATGAAGGGGTACCTGAAATTACAGGATCAAAAAAATCTTTCCAAGTGTCATCCAGGAAAGAAAATGTCAGTGTTTGTCCCATTTAATCAGATTGGATAAACTACAGAGATCTCTTCAAGAGGGCAAAGCAGAGAAGTGGTTGTTGGATGACGGATGTCACAGACTGATTGCAGATGGACCACAGTGGGTGTGAGGATGATGCCAGGCAGATGAGCGAAGCATACCATGACAGCAGATCCCCTGGCAAGAGTAACTTTCAGCAGCACTAGCTGATGCTGCACCTTCGATTGCTGATCTGTGCATGACCCTGGAGTGGGTGAAATTCAATAACTCAAACATAATGGTCATTGGTAGGAAATACCCAGGGTTAGAATGGGGTGGGCTATGTAGAAAGAATATGTAATAGATTGCAAGGAGACACAATCATGTTCCATCTCCTTAGGGCACTCACAGCCAGGTGTCATCAACTGATAGAATGTTGGATTTTCGGTTTAATATTGCACGCATTGGTTTTTGTTTGGGGAAAAGAAATAATATGAAAAAATCCTAACACATGAATGAATGTCCAGGAAAACTTGATTGCTCACGTTGTAGCCAAACCCAAATTTATTCTCCGTACCAGCTGGTGCCAACTATCTATCCGGTTCAGTCTCGAATTCTGTGCTGATGCTTTATTGTTGCACTGCCTGTTTGGATAATCCGTTTCATGTATTCCCCACCTGCCTAACATTTAAAGGTATTTGTCCACCTCTTTACTCATCTTAAATCCAGGTTCCAGTCTGCATTCTACATGAACTAACCCATCACATTGGATTAACCATTCAACCTGGATTATCCATTTTGATTCATTCTTTCAACCCTCTGTGTTGAAGCCTACACTCATCAATATTCAGTTTTGAAGTAATTTCAACCCCATAGGCTTTGTACAATGTGACAGTCAAACAATCTTGGAAGAATCACAGAATTGTTTCAGTGCAGAAGGAGCCCATTCAGCCCATTGTGAATGTCTGTTACCTAGTGCTTATCTTCTCCTTTTTCCCCATATCCCTGCAGACCATAATCATCCAATGCCCTCTTGAACACCCCTTCTGAGTCTGTATCCACCATATTTCCAGGCAGTGTATTCCATATCCAACTGCTCATAGTTTCATTTGCACATGAGCAAGATAATGTCTGTACTGCACAATCTGATATTTGTTTCCATTCTAACTTTTTGCCTTGTTTACCTAGTGCTTGGTTTATACCTTGCTATGTTAATCACCATATTTGGATTTGGTCAGGCATCATGCTTCAGGATTGATGAATTTAGCACCCCAGTGGAAAGGCCCTTGAAACATGTAATGATTTATCTCTCTTGGACAATAAGTTTCTAAGGCCTAGAACATTCTAAACCCAAGATGAGAGGAATAGCCATGTTGGTAATTATGGGCTTAATCTCCTAAACTTTATATACAGCCCTATATGCTACCACTCAATACCAACTGGTTGGAATGTTATTGCTGTATAACAGTATGGTGGCCCTTTGTTTCCTTTTGAGCTACCGATAGGCTGAATGGTGCTCCTGTGTACAGCAGAATCTCTATTATTGTTATCTAAAGTAACAACAATTTTCAGATGGAAGTACTAGTGGATGATACATCTCAGCCTACTCCAGAAGTTCCCAGCATCAAGGATCCCAGTCTTCAGTCAATTCAGTTTAATCCACGTGATATCAGGAAATGGTTGGAGGCACTGGATGCCGCAAGCACTATGAGCCCTGACAACATTTTAGTAAAAATACTGAAGACTTGTGCCCCAGACTTGCCTTGCCTTTAGCCAAAGTGTTCCAGTACGGCTACAACAGTAGCATCTACCCGACAATGAGGAAAATTGCCCAGGAATGACCTGTACACACAAAGCAGAGCAATCCAACTGAGCCAATTACTGGCCCATCAGTCTTTCTATTGTCAATAGTGTGACGGAAGGTGACATCAACAGTGCTATCAAGCAGCAGCTGGTCAGCAATAACCCACTTGATGACGTCCAGTTTGGGGTTCCACCAGGGCCACTCAACTCCTGACCTCATTACAGCTTTGGTTCAAGCATGGACAAAAGAGCTGAATTCCAGCAGTGAGGTGAGAATGATCGCCCTTGACATCAAGGCCACATTTGACCAGGCATGACATTAAGGAGCCCTAGCAAAAGTGGAGTCAATCGGAATCTGGGAAGAAACTCTTCGCTGGTTGGAGTCATGCATGACACTTAGTAAGATGATTGCAGTTGTTGGACGGCAGTCATCTCAGCTCCACAACATTTCTGCAGGAGTTACAGAGCCATACAGCATGGAAACAGGCCCGTCAGCCCAACTTGCCCAGGCCAACCAGATTTCCTAAACTGAACCAGTCCCGTTTTCCTGCATTTGGCCGATATCTCTCTAACCCTTTCTCAAATGTGTATCTGTCCAAATGCTTTTTAAGTGTCGTAATTGTACTTGCCTCAACCGCTTTCTCTGGCAGCTATTACCATACATGCACCACCCTTTGTGTGAAAAAGTTGCTGCTCCTGTCCTTCTTAAGTCTTTCCCCTTTCACCTTAAACCTGTGCCCTCTGGATTTGGAGATTCCCTACCCCGGGGAAAGGACATTGGCTCTTCACCATATCTATGCCCCTAGTGATTTTATAAACCTTTATAAGATCACCCCTCAGCCTTCTGCGCTCCAGAGAAAATGTTCCAGCCAATCTAGCCTGTCCTTACAACTGAAACCATCTCGGTAACATCCTTGTAAATCTTTTTTGCCTCCTTTCCAGTTAAATAAGTTCATGGTAGTTTCCTTCTCCCAGTCATCGTTAGCTGCTTCATCAATGAAATTGCCTCCATCATAACATCAGAAATAGTATTGTTCTCTGATGATTGCACAGTATTCAGCTCCACTCATGAATCCCCGGATACTGAAGTAGTTCATGTCCAATTGCAGCAAGATCTGCACAATTTTCAGGTTTAGGCTGAAATGTGGCAAGTAATACTTCCAGAGTCAGAAAAATACTAGGCAATGAGCATCGTTAATAAAAGATAATCTAACCATTGTCCTTGACGATCAATGGTGTTACTATCACTGAATCTCCCACTGTCAACATCTTGGGGGTTACCAGTGACCAGACACTGAGTTCGAACAGCCAGATAAATACTCTAGCTAAAACAGCTCAGAATCTAGGAACACTGCAGTAAGTAAATCTCTAGAGCCTGTGCACAATCCACACGGGACACAATTCTTGTTTTGGAATTCTCCCCACTTGCCTGGATGAGTGAGGCTCCAACAATGCTCAGGATGCTTGTCACCATCCAGGACAAGAAACCCACTTGATTGGGATCACATCCACAAACATCCACTCTCTCCATTCCCTGCTCAGTGGCAACAATATTGCCATCTACAGGTTGGACTGCAGAAATTCACCAAAGATTCTTAGACATGATCTTCCAAACCAAAACCACTGTCATCCAGAAAGACAAGTACAGCAAATACATGAGAACTCCACCACTTTCAGGTTCCCCTCAAGCAACTCACCACCCTGACTTGGAAAAGGATCACTGTTTCTTCAGTGTGCGTAGGTCAAAATCCTGGAATTTCCTCCCTAGTGGCATTATAAGTCTACCTACAGCTCATGGACTGAAGCAATTCAAGAAGGCAGCTCACACCACCTTTTCAAGAGCTACTAGGGACGCCCAATAAATGCTGACCCAGCCAGCAATACCCACGTCCCACAAGTGAATAATAAAATAAAAATCCATGCTCTCATTAACCACCCTGCTGATTACCTGTTGGATACTTTGTGGAATGCCACCTTTTGCACAATATTGCCCCATTTGATCATTCTGCTTGCTTCAGTAAATCACCATAGCAGACCAAAAAATAATGATTCTCATCTAATAGTACCGTAGTTTGATTCATTCTGTGTCAGGAGGGACAATTGGGGATTGTTCTGTCCAATGCATTATTGATCTTGAGTCATTCTTCCAATAATATATCACAGAATACAAATCAAGATATTTTCACTATTAACTCCCAACGAGTGAATGAAAGCTTTCTTCCATCAAGATAGATAACAGTGCTTCATCGTCGTTGAAATGGGTCAGGAGCCCTATGTTGTCCATACCAGGGAAGGATAGCAGATTTCCTTTACTAAAGGGGATTAATACACCAGATGGGTCTTTACGAAGGGTTTGAACCCATGACCCCAAATATTAGTCTGAGCTTCTGGACTATTAGACTGGTGGCATTGCCATTACGCCACTGTTGTCTTCTTGATATGAGCTATGTCATTGTACACTCATTTAGAATTGAAATGTTAGCATGATGTGCGCAATAAGGTTAGCGCACTATAAATGGGGAGACTTAGTGATGTTCAGCTGTCACCGCTCGAATGAGAGTCAGCAGAAACAACTGAACCGATGGACATTGCTCAGCACGGTGTAATCAGCAGAAAGGACTCTGGTATCCAATTTGCTGATGAACTGTTAGAGCCCTATTCAAAGACACTGCAGCACTACAACAGGCACACATTGACATAACATTTAGTGATATTGATTAGGAGGGAGGTACTTTCATCATTTGTTGAAAGGTCTGTAATTGTTTTTGTGTTCCAAAACTTAAACGGCCACCCCATTATTCCTCTTTAGTAAAGCCTGACTATTTCTTTCCTTACTAGTTTCTCGGAAACGGAAATCTAAAAACTGGGAAGCGGAGGACTTCTATGACAGTGATGAAGATACTTTCTTAGATCGGACAGGAGCTATTGAAAAGAAAAGGCTGAACCGAATGAAGAAGGCAGGAAAGGTAGAGGAGAAAGTGGAAACTTATGACTCATTGGTAAGAATTTTAAAGTTTTATTTTCAATTATATGCTCACTGTAGAAAGGACATAATTTTCTGGAGGATGTGCAGTCAAGGGTTCCTCGCGCAAAAGGATGTTTCCTATTTGGTAGGTGGGAAAAAAAGTACCATGGGAAACATTGCTCCCATGTTATATTGTACAGCTTTGGCACCGAGTTCATTGCAGCAATGGTGGAGACTTCTCTTGCGTTAATACACGAGATTATCCTGTTTGAAAAAGTAGGAAGACCTTCATTGATCTTGGTTCATTCATCCAGAAAGAGCTCCAATTCGCTCATCCACAGTATCTACATTACTCAAAACATTATGGGATGCTTTCTCCTTAACCCTCCATTGATTACTTTTAGCTTAAAGATATCATTCATAAATTTATTTATAAATTTATTTTTTGATATCAGTCATAGATTTACCTTTGAATAGTTTTAATGTGTTTTCTTGTTACCTGACTGTGAAGAGTAAGGAGAGGAAATATAAAGTGTACAACTTTAAAAGGGTTGCAGAAATGTGTTTTTGAGGGTGGCAGAACAAGCTAAAAAGATTGTTTTAAAGGATTTGAGGACCCTTGGCTTTATAAATAGAGGCCCAGAGTAGAAAATAATCTGGAATTAAAAGCGAGCCTCATGGTAACCACTGTCAATTGTCATAAAAACAGATTTGGTTCGTTAATGTCTTTCAGAGAATGAAGTTTGCCATCCTTCCCTGGTCTGACTGCGTATGACTTCTGACACAGACCAATGTGGTTGAATCTTAACTGTTTCTTGGAATGGCAATATGTGCTGCTTAACAAATAAAGAAAATGATGAAAGTAATTCAAAAGCGAGCATAAATCCAAGAAAACGATAATTATTCATATCAGTAGTTCTGTATGAACTTCTGTTTTAGAAATGTGCGGGAACCCCCTGCTAATGGACCTGCTAGCCTGGGCAGTGCTCAGTTAGCTAATCTTGACTATTTTTTAAATCAACCTGTCGGAGATACAAGTGAGACATCAAGCAGGTCTTTCAGACTGGAGGTAGAGCCACGACTACTGCGTAATATGAACCCCATAACTGACCTCGATGGTCTGCAATTAGAGAATGGAACATCAGTCTGGATTTCGGGTATTTTTCTTTAACCTACCCTGTCCAAGGATGTTATGACCCATCTCCAGTGCAGAAATCAACCTGTTCAGAGATATTTTGGCATACCTCTGAAGCAGCTGGAACTTGAACCCAGTCCTCCTGACTCAGAGGTAGAGAGATTACCATGGCACCACAAGGGTTTCCAGTCTGATTTTCATTTCTTTTTAAAACCTATTTTCTAATGAACTTGTTCAGAGATATTATTTCACACCTCTGGAACAGGTGGGACTTGAATCTGACCTCCTGTCTCAAAGTTGGGATATTACCACTGCACTACAAGAGCCCTTCAAACTCACTGCATCTCACATGGGACTTGAACCCACAGTCCAGTGGCTTATTCATTAGGCAACTGGGACTGTCAGTCTGGATTCCAATTCCTGGTTACTAACTAGCACCACCTGCTGGAGTTGTGCATGTACAAATGTTGGATGAAGGTAGAGATAACAAGGTGTAGAGCTGGATGAACACAGCAGGCCAAGCAGCATCAGAGGTGCAGGAAAGCTGACGTTTCAGGTCTGGACCCTTCTTCAGAAAATTGATGAATCGGCTGAAAGTAGTTTGTTTCTCAGTTTCAATTTCACCAGTTCCATCAGTTTGCTGTCCAGCCATATTTATACTAAACCATTACCTTGGTAGAGATATTGGAGCCTGTAGAACTAGAGAGGGGAGAGAAATTAATGGGGCAAGAAGGAGGCATTTCCAAATATTTATACTTAGAAATTATGAAGTGGCCTTAGGTTTGGCTCTGCTCACCAATGGTGGCAACAGGGATTCTTACAATCAGTGATAACTCTCAGTTTTCGTCTTTATACAAAACCGTCAGAAAGAATAATTAAGTATGTCTAGGTCTTTAAGAATTGAGCCTATAAAGGAACGACATCGATCTGAATCAATGCTCTAAATGTAATAATGGATTTTATCCCCACCAAATGTCAGGTTGATCAATTTAATGGTGCACCTGCCTCCAATTCAGCTAATTATGGCTAGAAATTGGGAAGTGGTAATAGTTGGTAGGGTATAGTGCCGAATTCATTAATAGTTAGTTGGGTTTAAGGAGTGGGGTGTTATGGTCCATTACAAGGAGAAGAGAAGAGCTACATTAGGTGGGAAGGGGCAGTTTTCAGCGTAAACTGCAGTCTTTGAAAATAGTTTTAAGAGGAACACTCCTGTTTGTCCAACTTCACAATCGAGTAATTTTATGCTCAAAAACATACCTTGTCATTTCTGCTGCATACCTATTCTTGGTGTTTGATTTTGAGCGATTGTGTTCTCCAACAAAATCATTCTGTGCTCATAAACACGTCTTTACCCCTATAGGTTGCCAAGTTAACAGAGGTGCAGAAAGAGCTTTCTGATGTTGAAGCCAAGCTGAAAATGTCTGGCAAAGGTAAATATTGACCACTGAATGATGACATACATAAGAATGAACCAGAACCACAGATTGTTGCTTTAGTGCTGTACTGAACTGCTACCAAGATTATAAACAAAATCTCCACCACCAGCCTTTTCCAGGTCAATAAAAGAGTTCAACTGAAATGTTGAGCTTGATGGAAAGTTTTGTTTTAGCATTGATGATAGAATAAATTTCAGCTATAACTTTAATAGCTATTGTATTTTGTCTGCTTGCCAGAATATCCAGGTGTTTCTACAATCTTACAGTTCACAAAATTTATGCAGTAATAGAATGTCAAATTCAAGAACTCATTGCAAAGAAAGCTAATGCTCAACTTGTCTAAATCACTTGAAGACTCCTTGCCAACTCCTCACAGATTGCAACCTTGGCTAATTTTGTGTTATCAGCAAACTTGGAAATGTTGTATTTATCCTAGTCATTTATATGTTGTGAATAAATCGGACTCAAGCACTGATGCTTGCAGAACTCCACTAGTCACTGCTGCCACTCAGAAAAAGACCCCTTTGTTCCTACTCTCTGCTTCTTGTCTGTAAGCCAATTCTTGATCCAAATTAATATATAAACTTCTATATCATGCACTTTATCTGCCCACTACCTCTTATGAAGGACCTTACCAAAAGACTTCTGAAAATTGAAATATACCACATCTACTGGTTTACCCTTATCTGTTCTACTGTTTACGTCACAAAAATGCCCAGTAGATTTGTAAAGCATGATTTGCCTTCCATGAAACCATCCTGGCTTTGCCCAATCCCTGCTATCACATTTTTTTTATAATAAACTCCAACATTTTCCCTATCACTAATGTTAGATTAATTGGTTTGTTATTCTCTGGTTTGTTTCAAAAACGTAAATTCATTAGCTACCATGGAGACATTTGAACCCATGTTTCCAGAGCATTAGTTTGGACCTCTAGATTACTGGTCCAATAATATTATCATTAACCCACCACTTCTTCCTAACTAATGAGAAACCAATTAACTTGTAAGTATTTAGTATTGAATTACATCTTTCAAATTGTTCCAAAGAAAGAATTGGGATGCAAGTCAAAACTGCAGCCATTTTTGCACAATAAGATCCCAAGGACGGTCATCTGATAATAACAATTTAATCCTATTTTGGTGGTGTTGGTTAATGGAGAAAAATATTACTGTTAAGTCTGGCACTGTGAAAAATCTGAATATAAAGAGCTAATGTTAAATGATTTCTGACCCTATGCGCTAATGATAATCCAACTTTTGCAGTCAGCCCCAGTGGCTGTCTCATACAGTCGTAAGCAAACCAATTGTAAGATTGTGGGACCTGCTAAAGTTGAAGGCTGGGAAGTTTCTTATTTAAAAGATCAAGTTTTCACCAAATGGTTCACACATGTTTCCAAGTTGAACTTTTCGGTGCAATGCTAAGAAAATAATTTATTCGTAGAGATATAATTATTCAAATAATATGTTAAGCAAACAAATGGGCGTGGGTTTAGGTGGATGTCACAGATTCTGTGGCTGTTTTTTTTAAGATGAGCAGAGGTTTCTTCCAGCACCTGGGCCAATATTCCTCCCTCAGTATCACCAAAGGCACTCTGGCTACTGTTAGTGAGAGTTTCTGTGTGCGGATGGACCACCGCTTGTGACTAAATTATGAAGGACTACATTTCAAAGTAAATCATTATCAGTAAAATACTTTACACGAGGAAGCACTTTGTAAATGTGAATCTTTTTAACTCTGTTGAAAAATAAAATCAGAAGGAAAGAACTTGCAGTTATATAGCACTTCTTGTACTTTCAGGATATCCCACAGTAATTCAGAATAGTCTAAAATGTTGTCACTTTGTAATAAGGTCAATATGAGGCAGCCAAATTGTTTTCAGCCATGTCCCATAAGCATCAATAATTTGTTTTAATGTGTTGGCTGAAAAGAAAAAAGATTGACTGGAGCAATTTCATAAAGAATCCCAGATCAAATGATGTTTATTAGTATTTCTTCACAGAATTATTTTTCTGTTGGGACTTCCTCTGTCAATTGCATCTCCTGTTATAATTTGGGCAGCAACAGAGCGGTTATGTTAAGCAAAAGTCAAAGAATTATAGAATTGGAAATCAGAAACAAAATCAGAAATTGCTGGAAAAGCTCAGCACGTCTGGCAGCATCTGTACAGAGAAAGCAGGGTTAATGTTTCAGGGCCAGTGACCCTTCTAGAGGGCATAGGTTTAAGGTGAGAGGGGAAAAATCTAATAAGGTCCTGAGGGGCAACTTTTCCACAGAGTGTGGTGTGTACATTGAGCGAACTGCCAGAGGAAGTGGTAGAGTTGAGTACAATTACGACATTTGAAAGACATTTAGACAGGTATATGAATAGGAAAGGTTTAGAGGGTTATGAGCCAAATGCAGACAAATACGTCTAGTTCAGTTTGGGAAACTTGGTTGGCATGGACAAGTTGGATCGAAGGGTCCGTGCTGTATGACCCTACACTGAGTTTTTCCAGAAATGTTCCATTTTGAGAACAATTATGTTGTTTAGATAAGATTAGCTTCATCATCCTTTTTCTTTTCTCAAATCTAAGATATGCATTTTTTTAAAGTACCTGAATTATAACCAAATGTATCATATTGATGCATTAAACCAAGATTTAAAGACATTGTTGGAGAAAAATGAGCGGGTACTTCCGAACTTTCTGGCAAGGATGTCCAAAAACCTAAGGGCATTGTGCATCAACCTATGCAACGTGGCTGCAACAGTTCAAGAAGGCAGCTCACCACCTTTTCAAGGGCAGCTAGGGACAAGCAGTAGTTGCTGGCTAGCCAGCGACACCACATCCCATGAGTGGATATAAAAGATCGCCTTGTGGTTCAATGGCTGACTCCCATCATAAAATCCAGCCCATAAGATCAGCAGTAGGCCTCAATCCTATCCCATTGTTTGGTGAGGCCATGATTGATTTGTACCTTGATTACTTTTATCCACCTTTTCTTCATTTGCCTTGAGATATCACTTG